CACTTTGCCTGATTGAAAACAGATAATGATGAAAACAGATGGTCACTTGGAAACGTCATTCTTGTCAACTCATAGTTGTTACTTTAAAACAGAAGTTCATGTGTATCAGGTGTTCCTAACCCTACTATGCCACTTTACATCATTACTTCACAAGCAGGATATGCTTTACAAATTATGCATGTAATCATTGCTGGGTTACTTTGTGAATGAACTTATTAAAGTTATTTTAAAAAGCTTAAAAATGATTCTGAATAAAACAAGTGAGGATAAAAAACTATTAGTACTGTGTGTGTAAACTTGTTTATTGTATTTCTGCCCTATTGTGGAGAAAACTCTAGTCCCGCACCTTTAAGGCTACACGAGTCACATTTTAAAACTTGATGATTTGCTCACAAGAGAATAGCACTTGGACATCTTGGATTCACACCAATTACAATGGATTCAAATGGGAACCTGGATTTACAACAACAAACTAGAAAAAGTTAAGCGTGGCAGGTACAGGAGGTTTGAGGCACATGGTGATATAAGATCTATCGACCAATACCAACTGAACAGAAAGGAATGTTCAACATTTCTAGTGTTGAAAGTAGACTCATTTCTCAAAACATATTTTAGGAATTCTGTTCTTCATTTATATCTACTAGCACACAGATAATAATATAACAGCAGTGGGTAAATACCATTGGTTAATGCTTGAAAACTTCTCAGTCCATGCTTGAAGCATAATCCACTTCTCCTCTGTTAATCTGTGTGTTCAGTACTTTAAACAATCATTGCTTTATAGTACTTATGAAGTGTATTAAGCTCTGTTGAAGAGAAGCTATGATTGCTTGGAACATATTGAACACACAAATCAAGAACTCCGGTAAGCTTTGGGTAAACAAGACACACAGTTTTTACTTAATGCTGGTTTATATTTCAAACATGGCTTTCTGCACATGCTTAAAGAAAATTCCAGGCTTTCGTCAATGTAATTACATCACCTAAAATCACAGGTTCTAAACCACAAACCATCTATTTTTGGCTTTTTTTCTTAAAATTTAAAAAAATGAATTAACTGTCAAAACAGATACTAAATATGAAAGAGGTAGTATTTGACTATTTGTCACTTCCTGATAGTCAGCAGTAGTTCTTTTTGCCAAGAGCATCATAGGCTAGTTTTCTAGTCTGAACATGAACTACAGCAGTGAGACAGTCAAGGCCTAGCAAACTGTTTGCTAGCTAGCTGTACATTAGTTTGAAGAATCAGTTAATTGATCGTCCCTCAACACCAAACTGTTCAATGCCAGCTCTGTCTTTTCGCAATCATGCGCCCTCAAACAAAGTACCCTCCTCTCCTGGCATCAGCCAGCATGCTTCCTCCTGCCTCCTCCTCATCACATTGGAGCAGAGGAAAAGAAAAGAAAGGAGTGCATCATGGGGACCAATGCATTCACTGAGCTGGAAATACAACTCACGCAGTGTGTGACCACCATGGTGGGTGTTGCACTGCTGACTCTGTCACATGCCACAGTGCCATGGAAGTCCAAATCCCAATCTATTGACAGAGAACTCCCAAGCACAGCAGCCACACACTGTAAGCTGATCATTGTACGGCTTAAGTATCAAATCCTCTATAGAACTGAGAATTGTATAACAGACTAGGGATGGATAATGAGCAAAAATACAGCTGAAGTTTGTGAGGTTGTATACAAGCTTTAAACCAAGAGATAGTCCTTCCACTGGACCACTTTATATCTTACATCCGTAACAATGAAACAAGTCCTACAGAGACAAAAGACACTCATATTACCAACTGCATACTGGATTGTCAGAATAATCTTAAACATTAGTTAAAGGCTTTATATGTGATTTTTTTGATCCAGTAGATGTCGCCCTTGAGCACCAGCATGAAACCAAAACACCTTGCGGTGCATTGTTGTGTTAGCATGCTAATGCTAGCGATCTTTATTATGCTCGTATCTTCACACTGCATGTAAATGTACCTGAAATGAGCGTGATCTAGAAACACAGTTAAGCAGTGAGTACAGTATGTTATTCTTCTTTTCTCTAGTCCCTCAATTAAACAACTTTTGTACGTGAGGGGAGGAGTCAGCCGCGGTCCCGGCGATGTAAACAAAGGACTATAGGACTCTGAAAACATCACAGACAGTGGGACTCAGGTGTTACACCCATTGTAGACAGTCATGACTCACAGAGTTATTTTCAGAGGATATACTTGATTTCTATTACATTTAAGTGTGAAAAATCGCATATAAAGCCTTTAAAGTTATGGAACCTTACCTCAAGTTTGTGAAACTCAGAAAGTCAGAGAAAATGTTGCTACAAACTCTGCGTTGACAACCTAGATGTCACATTGGTGTACAAAAGTAAATGTTGGCTTTTTGGTTAAATTTTTTTTTTTTTAACAAAATCATGTATAATAGAGCAAGAGGACTTTCAGACGGGCCCTCCTTTATCATTCGCAGCCAATGTTTGTTGACCAACTAGCTACCTGGAGGGAGGAGTGACGTTTATATACTGTGACTGCTGCACGGTCCACAGAATCAAAAGGCCGCATTCAGTTTTCTGTTCGTCAGTATGTGGTTCTCCGCTTTTTTGTTGATAGCAAGAGCCAGTTGAACCACACACAGCATTGATCTAAAGGTAAATAAATATTGTCATTATAGCATCGTATAGCAGACTCTGTTGCTATCCCTGCCAGCTCCTCTAGCTAACAGGCTGGCATACTGTATATCCTAAGTGGTATGACCTTATGCAGGCTGCAATTCCTCTACATCCACTTAATATGTTTTCCTCTAATACCACCTGTCATTTACAAACCATGCTAACATTAATAAGGTAGAAATCATTTCATTGTGACTTAAGAGAATGGGCCAACTGGACTTAAAATATGAAATGTATAAGCTCAATAAACACATGCTATGTTGATAGTAAGTATTTTTCTCTTTTAGGGTTTTATTTTCAACTCTCCTTGGTACCAGCTGGCTTGATAAATTCCCATCATGCAAGGTCTAAATAAATTCTACAAGACCATGAAAATAAGTTTGGACTGAGCAGTACATCATTGTCTGATCATATCCAAAGAAAAAGTTTAGAAAATACCTTTGTTAGCTCTTTTTAAAGATCAAAATCAATTCTCTGAAAACCCTGAAATGCCATGACAGAAGCTTATTTTCTTTCATAGTTTAATGCTGACAAAAAAGTCACAGCAGGGTGTCTCTTTTTTTCCCTCACAGCGAACTACATTGCTTTCTAAGACCAAACAATCCCTTCATGTTTTCTTTTCATTCCGGCAGAGGTACACCAATACTGCTGCAGGATATTTCACATGGACACATGGCTTTGTTCAAATGAAACAGTAAGTCAGAGAATGTCTGAGTCTGTGTCTACACATGTAGTGAAGTAAAGAAGTGACATTTCTCATCCACTGACCTGAGATTACAGGAGAGGAAGACGTTCTAAAATGTATTTTCTGTTGACAACGTTTGATGGCTACAGGCTGGAGCCATGAGAGCTTTGATTTTTTTTAAATAATTTTCTCATCAATTAAAAACTCTAGGAATTTAACCTGAGAGGCCAGTGTATCATATTTAAAAGATATTGCCTAAAATGTTGTATCAGGTTAATGCACCGATCTGATTCAATTATTAATAAGCAGATACCAGATTAGGGTTTCAGAATTGAGTCTTCATTTGAGAATATTGTTTTCAAGTCACTTCCATTGTTCATATGCATAAACATGTGGTGCATACACATAGACGTGGTGCATGTACACCACGTCTCAAAACTCTTCATCTGTACAAATACAGACAAAAGGGTAGGGTTAGATAGCACATAAAAACCTCAGCAGGCCAGTGTTCCCACTATGATTTCATTCTGGGATGTGCTCGGAGAGAAGCAGCACATGGCCCCCAGGATAAGCTAGTCAGGCAATTATAACTACAGGGACCGAGCAAGCCAGAATGAGTTCCCATCAGCTCCAGCCAGTCATGTCCAGCAGTCACAGTCACACCAGCTACAAGTCCTTAAAGTGACTCATCATGGAGGAGTGAGTGTCAGGGCACTTTGCCTGCTGCAGGTGACTCTACAAATAGCACCGCTAGAGTTTCTATAGGAAGCTATATGCATAGCCATGCTGGATGGATAAAGAGCTTTGCTAAAAGTCATTTTAATGTGAGTGTTAAAAGCAACATTTCCCCCTACTAATCCAAGTCAGATAAAGACATCTGTCGGTTATGTATATGAAAGCTGCTCTGCCCCCTTCTTTCAATAGACACAGCATCCCTCCAAAAGTCTTAGTATGTCCCCTCAGAAGAGGCAACATGATGATCATGTAGCACCTGTAGCAAAGCTGTGACATGCTGTCTTGAAATGTATAATACATTTTTCAAAGAGCCTAGCTTTGCAGAGACTCAGTCACAAGCATGGAGCTATACCACCATGTCCTTAATGCATGCAGTTTGGATTTAAACTCTTCAAATCAGACTCAGAAACAGGAGATTAGTGTCATATAGGAGCTTTCAGCAGGTCTCTTGAATGGCAAGCCAGGTTTGAATTAACCAAGACACCTGACCATGGCAGAGAGGGAGACACTGAGGTGACAGTTTATAGAGATTTTGTATGAAAGCTTTCGAATAGATTCTTAGATAATAGGAGGACAATAGCCACACAATAGGGCTGTTTAGGGGAGCACAGAATCTTTCTTGTAAGCCAGCTACACATAAAGATGAAGTGAAGCACGTTAGTAATGTCACCTCTGTCTACGGATGGTTCTTTGGCGACAGAGGACCTTGAATGTCGCTTGACTGACTTGAATTGACTTTGTATTTAACTCCTGTTCGTCGTCTCAGTGGTGTTGAACATCAACATCATCATTAGGGCTTACTTTAGTCAAACATTTAGGTACTCATCATATCTGTAATAAACATGTTCTTAAATACGTTTGAATACATTTTGAGGATAGCACGTCATACATAAGCAACATTTCAGAGCCTTACCAGAGAGAATCCCGCTCCAACTCCAAATATCTCCACACAGATCCTGTCTCCGCTCGGTGCTGGTCTCTGTCACGACCCCGTGTCTCTTCGTCCTGCTTCTCTCTCTCTCTCTCTCTCTCTTTGTCCGTCCTCCTTCCCTCCACACAGCGGTAAGATCATGTGTTTCCCACAACAACAACAAAAAATCACAGTAATCTTTTCAAAAGTGGGATGCAGAGTGTCCTGGTCCCGCCTACCGCACGCATGCACGGCGACTCCAATCAAATGATTATTGTGTGAGCAGCCCCCCCCCTTATTGAATCGTCGTTTGATATCGCCGCTCGGATAAAAAGGTCGTGTCGTGTCTTCTTGCGTTGAAACAGATCCTCACACGGTGATGGGGGAGAAGTATTTATCGTCGTGTTTCAGACAATGAGACGGTGAATAATCACTCATTTCTATCATTTACTCGACTGTTTCCCCTTTAACCAGCTCATGCGGGGTTTTTAAGACACATCGATCCAGATGTGATTTTTTTTTTTTGGTACGCCATCCACAATATGGAAAACAGCTGCCTGAGCCATGTGCCACAGAAGCCCACTGTTGCTTACGCACTTCTACCCACGCTCCTTTCTAGGTCATCCGCAGCAGCGCGTTTTGATGTCATATTGCTCAGGGGATCGTTTCTTGTCTTTCTCCTCTAGGTCATGTTCACCGAGGAAGGCATAGGGTGACCTGTGGTGAAATGAGAGGTCCTTCATCCACTGACTCTGCTCTCTAAATGCATTCATTGGTCCTTAGGAATGTATTTTCAGTCACAAAACTACTGCTGTCCCCCTGAACCACAATTTCTTTTGAAGTGGTTGCATTCAAACTGACCTTGAGGAAAGCAGAGGACATTTAACCTCTGGGACATATAAGCCTAGCATCTGCTCTGAGTTTGAACCAGTGGGGGATTGGCTACCCATAGAGGAAAGGTCCAGATATGCTGTGAAAGAGGCTGGTTCATCCCAGGGGTCAGCAGAGGGGCTTAACAGATGTATAGTTCAAAGACAAGAGTCTCAGGCTCATGAAGGCGACTGTCCTCATCTCATTCCTATTCATAAATAACATGTTGATGTGCTAATTTAAGTGCTGCCAAGTAATGTGGAGGAGAGGGTGAGCACCAAGGACATCTGGTCCTAGAGGCAAAGCATGTTCCCTTAGTGTGTGTGAGTCTCAGCATGCCTCACCTGTCTGTCAGCTTAAATCGTGGTGCATGTATAGTTCTCAAAGGACTCTGACTGCCAAGAGCAGTGCACAGCAAGCTGTAACCATAGAAACTAGGTAAAGCAAAGGTCAGAAACACAAGTAATGACCAAATGCAGAGGTGCCAAATAACTAATGAAGTAGCATTAGAGGGTATTTTAGCACACTAATTACATTCATGCAGAGATCATTCTAACCACACAGATTGGACCATTAGGAAGGGTTGACATTGCATTAGATATTTATATTGGATTGTGTACCACATTTTTTTCTCTAAGGTTACGTATACACATAAACATGTAACAAAACGTAAAGAAATGTAGCTCCATTAGACAGCGGTGGACTCAGGCCATCTGTGTGGCATGGAGTAACAACGCAGAAACTTTTGGTGTGAGATATATAGTGCACTGTAAAACTAAACCTTGGTTAAGATAAATATATTATATAAACTACTGCACCTCTGTAATCATAGAGGGAACAATAACCTATTTAAACATTTATTTAACAAAGGCACATTATCTGTACATATTTAGGAGATAGCCATGTTAGGAGGATAGATCCAGCCTTTCAAGAAAGAACTGCCTCTAGCTGCATTTTGAAGACCTTTTTGCAGGATCTTCACTTTTCCTCGTCTCCTCATGGCATTCTGTAATCAGAGAAGTTGCACAATGCTTACACTATAATTTAAATCCTAACACACACTAAATTCTGTGTATGCATTTACCGTTTAAGTATTCAGGATACAAAAGTATTACAGCATTACTGCTTGATTTGAGTTTGATTCACCAGTTAACTTAGAAACAGTGAAGCAAGCTGTAGCTGCAAAGCCAGACATCCTCCATGGTCTTGTAAGGTATGGTTTTGTTTTTGTAATCAGACAAAAACAGTCTACACACAATAATAGTACAGTAATAAATGTTATTCAGTAATTCTTCCACACAACTGTCTTTATAACTGAAAAGAAAACAACATCAGGGGTAGAGTCATCTATAGAAGCATCCCATAAGAGCACATTGATTTACATAAAGGGATGTGAAAAGAAACTAATTTACCAACATGTATAATTTTATCCACCAGAAGGGCACCTGAGAGGGAAGATGATTCATCCATTGGAAGGACATCTGAAAGAGCCCTCTATTATGTTTTATCCATAATTACAACCACTGTCATGTTTCCCACCTTGGTTTATGCTAGTAGTTAGCATTCTAAAATAGCACTGATGTTTAATTTCATGAGACAAGATCAACTGACTGAACAAAGACTGCAACTCCAATGATGCTAGCATATGTTGCAACCTAGAAATATTTGTATGCAATTTAATTTGACAGAAGAAAGCACACTACACTATAAGTTAGAAAGTACTGTATATAATATTATTTAACATTTGTTTAATTTGTCAATTAAAAAAACATACAGGTACTGTAATTTCATGTTAGTTTACACAGAAATTAAAAAGTTGTTATTAACTATTTTAATTTTAGGTTTTGATATATGACATCATCGGCCTGCTTGCAGAGGTGACGTAAATGGTCAGGGTCGTAGTCAAGAGATGGATGCGCATGTATGCCGTTTTTATTGTGAGGACCCGATGCTACTTAAGAAAGATAATCATAAAAAAAATACAGCACTGGGAAGTATAAAGTTGCCAAATGGAAGACTTTTGGTCAACTTAAGGTCAATCTCCTATTCATCATTGTGGAAAATTCATAGAATGGGTGTTAAATCATCTTTGTTCAAACTTCAATACACACACTTTTGAACCTAAAGTATTACATCTACAAAGCAGTGCAGCCTTCCAAACAGCTTTGAATGGATTTCTGAAAACAATGGGAGCATGTGATCTCTAGGAGGTCAAGTGAACCTGCAGAATTATATAAGAGTTTACAACTCTGGAAACTCGGGTTAATACATAAGTGGATTTAGTCTTCACAAGGCCAGGTCGTGAAAGAAATACCAGATGTTTTACCCCACAAAAACTCTCCTCTTTCCTTAGCACAAAAACAGTTTAATCTTCCCTTGATTGCTTTCAATTAGATTGATTTAAAACTTTTTTTTTTTTTTTTTTTAATCAAGGTCTTTTCCAACACCCTCAAATGGAGTTTGACTTGTGGCCTCCTGTCATTCTCCACAGCCCCTGCCATGTTCATAATGAGGAGAAGCAGGGAGAAAAGATCTCATCACAGACCACTAAACCCATTCACCTTATTCTGCTGAGCCCTGCTGGAAGATGTTGCAGTCAAACTCAATTAAGGTCAATCTCCTATTCATCATTTGTGGAAAAGCTATGTGCTTATTGAAATCAACGTGGCCCACTCACCAGCAAGAAATAGCCATGCCGTGGAAATGATGATGCTTATGCAATTACCTGAGTGAGAGCTGGTTTCAGAGTGATGGAGCTGTATGTAGGACTACAGACAGTATGGTGGAGGTTTGTTAATGCCTGGTGACTCATAATCACGCTCTGTGAATATCAGCTAACACTGGTGACAGTGGACTTGCAGCCTTGAGGGCTCTATGAGTCACTCTGTAGGTGTTCAAGAAAATTACATGCTTGCTTGGGCTATCCGGTTTATTTACATAGATTACAAATGTAAATAAGACGTAGGTGGAGAATGAGATCCATATTAAAAATTTTAACTGTCATTTAATAAGATTTGTTACATATTTTTAGTTCTTCAGTATTTGTTTACATGAAACATTGGTTGAGTCCTAACAAACCAATCCCTTTTGTGCAGAATTAAAGATATCAAGGAAATAAAAGAGGCTGAGATCTTTTATTCTTCTGATCTTTATTAACAAGGCGATGTGTCATGACTTAGAAATCCACTTTCTCCTTCCCACTCAAACTCAAACCATGTTTTTACAAAAGTCATAACTTGGAAGTAGAGGAATGTTTTTAACTTTATTATTCCTCAGAGTTAGCAAGTAGCTACATTTCTTTCCACATATACAAACCCAACTTAAGGTCTTGGTTTTCATCAAAACATGTAGTTTTAAAATGCTAGTTTTTAAAAAGGATCTGTTACATCTGTCAGCTAAGTTTTTCAACCTATAATTTTTCTGTCAAAGTGAATTTTTTTTTAAACAATTTCAGCAAACAGACTGAAACTGTAAGGTCGCCAGAATTGGCTGGCAGCTTGAAGGCTACAGTCCTTGCAGCCGACTCAGGGTCGTTTCTGATCCTCGACATTTGCAGCATGTCATCGCCCAATCTCTCCTCCCATCATTTCCTGACACTCTTCATTGTCCTGTCCAAATAAAGCTAAAAATGGCTCGAAAAAATATCTTCAAGGGAAAAACTTGTTTTGTGTTTTGACAATTCAAACCGAACTTGGAGGCAATTTGCAAGTTTTTTCCAAAGCTTTCATTTTTTAAAAACATGGTATTGAAAAATTTAGTCAGATCTGTTAGACTTGTTGACCAGGGTTTACTAGATCAGGAGTTTTCTTCAGTGTCTGTGATGTGGTTGGATAAAAAAATATGAGGGACATTTTAACTTATAGTTTCTCCCTCAAAGAAAGCAATTAACAACATTTAAAACAAAATCTAAATGCTTTTCTTTTTTTGGACAGATTAAAACCTCAACTAGACTAACATGGTTCTAAGGACTTGGTGTACTCATGCAAATTTTGTAAGTCTTAAACTCTTAATGTTATGCAGAAAGCTACAGTAATAAATGGATTTCTAAATCTTATCAAAAGGAGACATCTGTCATACCCGGGGAATGCTGTTTGTTATTCTCTTCTGACTTCAATCATTGAAAAGTTTTTACAGAAGGAGTTCAGTCTCCCACACACACACACATACTTGGGCCACCTGCCCACCCTCCTCTTTAGCAATCAAAGAGCCTTCACTGTATGACACACACATGGAGTCCTGAGCATTATTTCTCTCTGCGGGAGGATTTCCCTGAAGGAGCAGCCTGGCGGTCCCAGGGGGAGCTGGAACATGGAGGCCCAACGAGGGGAGAGAGTCAGGGGGGTTACAGAGTGAAGTGAAGGCAGCAGAGATGGAGAAAAATCACTCTAGTTTGGCTGTTTTAATGTGGCTGTCTAAATGGTATCCCTGAAGTACATAAAACAATGCAGCAGTTAAGTCTAATTTGTAGATGAAAACAATCACATCTCAATTCAAATATTGCAATTTGTTACACAATTGTTTCAGTTCACCATATAAGTATAACATATAACCATATAACAATAAGTACCGGTCATTTTGGACACAATAGCAGAATGGCTTATTGCATGGGGATG